AAATATAGAATCCGATATTCTATTTATCAATCATCTAATTTATATAAATTATCCATTTTCCTTCTTCAAATTTAATAATGTATTTTAAAAAATAGTATGCCAATCTTCATATTAAAATATATTTTTTCAACTTATATTCATATATAAATATATATATATATATACACATATTAATTTATTTATTCTCATCTGTTATATATATATATGAATTTTAATATATTTCGACCCAATTAATATTAGATATTCTTTAATTTAAATAAAATCAAATAATTTTTTTAAGAAAGATATAAAGCAATTCAATCAATGGAAATTCAATATTAGATTATAAAAGAAAATTCATTTTCTTACGAATTCGCATAATATATGAAAATAATTTAATCTTTCAATCTCTTATATAAAATCAACTATTTCTTCTCTTCTCCCTCACGAAAAAATTAAAATAAATATTTATTTTTTAGCATCGAAGAAATGGAGATCAATCATCTTGGCAAATATAGTATATTTTTCCCTTAATCTGTGTCGAATTATATGATTTGAAATTTATGTTCTTTTTCTATTCAGAAATTCGATCATCAGATTCAGGATTGAATCTAATAGATTCCCCATTTATCGAAGTCTAATGAAATTTCAAAAATCGAGAATCAAATATACGAATAGTATTTGGAAAATTTTGGTTGTAGAATCTTCAATCAGAAGCCTCCGCGCCCAAATCTTCAATCCCAATCCCGGACATTAAAACGTCATTCTATATATTGTAATAAGCCCATGATCTCGAAATCTATCAATTGCAATATTATTGCAAATTCAGTCCACGACCCATCCCAGCTGCAGGGTCTCAATCATCACGTAGGAGAGAATCTTAAATTCCCGGCCCGAACTGCAAACCCAAACCCGAAGTCAGGAACCTTCAATCCCAAGTTCCGAACCCTAAGTGTGAGAGAGCCAGGACGAGGAGGCTAAATGACCCTAAACCCCAGGCCAAACCACAAGTCCCGTCGGAAAACCAGCAATCTTCTCTATGCACCTACAGACACCCGACTTCGACCGATCCACCCCGCACCAAACGAGCATGAAAGACAGACACATTGGGCGGATTCGACTGTCGGGCTGGAAAGAACCCCACACCCCAGACCCTAAACGCGACAGCTTTACCCCTAACCCTCTATCCTTAACTCCAGATCATGAGCCCGTCGGAAACCTAGCAGCCCAAAACCCCTTCTATGATTCTAGACTCAACCCTTCCAACATTCTACCCCAAACCGCCGCCTAGCACCAGCCACACACGAAAAGCAAACACATCGGATTAGGAAGAACTCTAAACTCTAGACCTCAAACGGCAAACCTAAATACCAAATCTTCTGGCCTAATTACCACCAGGAATCCCGAACCTCCCTAACCCTTTTCGAGAACATCGACCTACAAACCCCACCCCTGTTCCCACACACTCACGAAAGGCAGGTCCATGTGGAGGACTCGGATGATGGGATTCAAAACATGTTTTACTCAGATTAGTCAGCAACCTTCATGCAAAGACATCCCGGGTTCTCCGCTTTAGTTTTTGGAAATTGTGAGGCATCCCTTGGGAAAAATCCATTATTGCAGCTTTCTTTAGGCCGAGTTTGACAATCGGACAGGTCCGGGTTTAGATCTGCCCTATTGCAAGCCGCAAGTGGCAGGAGAGTACCCTGCGCTGCATGCTCGGCACGGCCTCGTCAACCCATGCTTCTCCCAATCCCCACACGTCGATCTTCCGAACATCTCATATAACACGATGCATGCAACATGAAGCGCAGATGTGAACAGCAAGCAATCTCTGGGCCAGATCAAACAACAGCGCTTATTCAACATGCTGTACTTGAAATGCAACGGGCCGAAGTGCACATGACCATCGTCGGTCTGTTGCACTTCCGACAACCCAAACCATCTATCTGAAATGCAGCTCTTACTGTGTATGACTCACACATTTGCTAATTGACCGTTGTACATATGTGCCTAAGCCGGTCTGTAGTAACAAAGTCGCACTACATACAAACAGTCATAGTGTACTGCATGTAGACACCACCCCTGGACAACGAAGGTACACGTCAGGGTCATGACAGGGAGAGAAAGTTCAGGTTCTCCGGCACACCCGTCCAGCCCAGCCGCCCCGGACCATGAAGGGAGCTTTGATGGGAGCCCACGGAGCTCAGATTCCGTCCACTGGCTCCGAGGAAAGAATCTCGAACACAACCTCCTCTGTCGCCACCATTCCGGAAGGTACAGAGGACAAAATGCTCATTGCAGCAGGGGCAACATTAAACCCGCAACACGCAACAAAGAGATCTCCAACAACACATACTGTACTTGCCCGTAGAGAAAACAACCACGAAATCACATACAGAGCAATACTACACTTGCAGCACGTATAGCACGGACATGAACACCAGGTTGCATCCTTTGATCCCGACATCCTATGTGCCGACTGGATTCTACGCATATGTGCATGCTTAAACAGCTGGTTGCCGAGGCTGCTGCTTGAAGCCAAAGCTGGAAAGCCCCTGCACGTGAGAAAGATACTCCTGCAAGTGCGCATGCCAGGTGTGTGGCACCGCGGGAAGTGTCTGACAGCAGGCGCCGGCGTCCTCTATGGAGACGGGTGCATTCAGCGCCTGCAAATTGTGCAAAGCTGGGAGAAGTTCTCGCACTACACAAGCACAACTGATGATCCTCTTGGACAACGTGACGAAGCCTGCCCAGGTGATGCATCGCAAGCAAGATTCTCCCAATCTGCCGATGCACGCTGAGGGTGTTGCAGTGCCGATGATATCCCAAACATTGATGCGTTGCTCAAGATCTCAGTTCAGTTCTGTGGAGTGGGAGTAGGCTGCTGCTTGCAGCTTCCGTGCCTCCGCAATTCGCTTAAGTTCCTCACACCACCCGGTCCGGTACACCTCGAAAGCGGAGCCTGGTAACCGGCCTTGGCAGAAGGAACTTCTCTTGGGTAAAAGGATGCGACCCAACATCCAGGCATGCAGTGTTGACCAAAGCAGCACCAGCGCTTTAAATGCATCTTGGTGGACCGGTGGACCATACGAGTCGTCAGCAGCTTTGTTGCGCAACTGAGTGAACATCGCCCCGCGCATTGCCAGGTCTACACCAGTCTATGTACAAGCAGATCGTCAGCGCAGAAAGAGATTCACAAAGTCAGGGTCATGCAAAGCACCTGGGCTGAAAAGTGGACTGTCCGATCAGCAGCGACCCAGAATCAGAAAGAGTTCTACATGGACATCGAACACTTCGTAGTCCTGCGCTTCGGCGCGGTCCCTTCCAGCAGGAACTTGTTCACTTGCCAGTGATAGTTGGGCAGTCTTTTCTCTGATCTTGCACGGAACGATCACCGGTTCAGGTTCCCTTCAGGAGCCTTCCAGTCCAATGATGCCAGGTCCTTTGCCCAGCCTTTCTCGTGCTGGAGGTGCGAAGCATCATACTTCCAACCCCGGTCTCGTGCTACGTCTACACCGGTGCATTTTCGGAAACGTTTCTACGATCGAAGTGCAGCGGCTAGCAGCAGATCACAGAGTGGAAACTCGAGCAGGCGTCCTTCCCTGACTTCGCCTGTAGATCCAACAGACAAACCTCCAGTCGCAGAATCGAATCTCGACTGCAGGCAAGAAGCTGTGGCATCGCTGCCAAGAAAGGCATGATGGGGTACATGGAGAATGCACTTAGTGCGAATGTCTTCATGTTCTTTGAGACTCTCGGCCTGCACAGCACACTATGAAACAAGCGGTATGTCATCAGCCCAACACGCTTCCCCAACACGCCTCTCAGGATAAGAACCCAGCATTGTTTGTTCCCGCTCTTTCCGAGCCATCACTGCTTTGTTGATTGACTGGGTCCTCAGGGGACATGCATACATCGCCCGCATGCACCTCTCCGTCCTCAGGGCAAGCATCCGCTTATCACGCGAGCCTGTGGTGGCCCCAAGCTTGCAAATCTGCGCTGAACCGATGAGGAGCACATGCGAGTGGCTTCTTCCTGAAGCATGGCAAAAATCTCAAACAGGAACTAACTTAAACCTAACATGTCCGAGTCAGTTTACACAACGGCCTTCGGTGGCGATCATGAGCTGGCGAGCATTCCTGAGACTGGCTCCACGCGCCTCTGCTCATGCGTTCTGGTAAGCACAGTCTGGCAAAATGCCCAGGGAGTGTCTCGACCACGACCGGAGGGCGCAGATGCAGGCCGGAGCTTCCTTGGATTGCATTGCAACCCAACGTTCTACGAAATCACTGGTCACGCCAATGGGAGTCATGAAAGTGTCACGTGGGCCAGCACGAAACGACGGTACGGAAGATCTGCCTGACCCGTAAACAACGTCACCTTTTGGGGATTTGAGGCTGGCCACTGTCTGGGAGCAGCTTTGCCTTCTTCGGCCGAGCGTGGAGTCAGTGGCCTGTCTTTTCGCAGCATTTAGAAATCACAAATCCTGCTAAGGCATGAACTCACGCTGCAAGGCTTATTTTCGGCCATCTGCGAAAGTTCCGATGGTCGATTCGGACGGCTTCACGGAAGCTGTGGGCTTATGGAAAGCATTGAAGGGGTTAAGTTTAAAAATGGCTTCGTTACAGATTCACTGAAGTGTAAAGATGACAATGAAGCCGCCCAAAACAACATCCATCAACCTGCTGTGCGCAATCGCGACAAAACCTGATTGAGGCCAAAACAACCAAAACAACTCGGCCTGAAACTCGGAGAGACTGCTCTTTGGTGTGCAAGAGCTGAAGTCTCCTGCAGATAGTCTACACCGGACACCTGCATCCTTTCCATCGCAGTCTGAAGCGAGACAGAATGGACTTGAAGTTCCAGCGTCCTCGGCCATGTCGTGTAGGGGCACTGTCCGACTACAGACTCCTGACTACTTGCAAGCCTCGAGCCAACACCGCAGCCAAAAGCAAGTGCCAGTACGATGATGTGGGCCAGCTGATATGTCTTGTCGTACATTTTTTTGATCAAGGAGCCCATGCCGGCTCGCAGATGACACTCGTAGAACGTTTTGGAGCTCCTCAACGCTCCATGTTTGGTTACACATCGAGTACTTCCTACTTCGTGCCCATTCCAGTGCACTCAGGGTCCTTGATGCAACGTCATCCTTCCTGCACTGTTCGAGCTTGGCTCTTACCCGACTGTAGAACAGACAAGAGGTTCGCAGATCATGTTACACTAATCTTGGCTGTGATGCCCTGTTGCTGCTTGTCAGCCTACTTGTAGCCACCACCTCACCACAAAGACACTGGTTCAGCTACCGCATACTGTAGGAAACGCTGAACATGCCAGAGCCTCACACACACACACAGACACAAAGCTGACATAGTAAACATAGTAGACATGATGTACCCGTCTGTGGTGTTCTGCATGCTGCCGAAGGGTCAACGGAGCCAAATATCCCTGGCTCCAAGCATCCCCAAAGTACACCCGGATGATGGAAGCGATCATTGTCCTTACTTCACTGTCAGAGCTTGGCTACGGATTTGATCCAGGTCTCTATCGCATCATACCACTGCTGCAATCTTGTGACTTCTCATGCTGCTCTGAAATCTTGTGACTTCTTCATGTTGCTCTGAAATCACACATAGGCCATCAGCTTACGAAACTCTTACAGAAAAAGAACAGATCTCTTGTTCACATCGTGCTTTTAAGGCTTACAGAAGGATTCTGCACTTGCAATGATGGCAGCAACACAGGCCGTGACTGAATTGACACAACGGCCACGAAAGAATTGCTTGCCATCCTCAGCACAACACTGGATCGGTGAAGTTTCGCACACAAACTCCAAAAGCAGGGTCAGTGCCCTTGTACCGGGCAACACCAGGCCCCGCCCAGCTCGGCCATCGGGATTGAGGCCCAGCAACTCTAGCCAAGAACCTCAGCCCAGTTACAAAGCGCCTTGAAAGAAAACTCATGTCAACGGACTGACATTTGTCTTCAGAGCGGCGAAACTTGATTATGAAGGCTGCTGCGAGAAGGAAGACTGGATAGTAAATGATCAACGCTGGAATGGCGTGTGTGAGCGTGACCACCATCATGACCTGAGCGGGGGAAGAACACCGAAGCACACATCTCATCGGTGCTGCAGCGGGCACCCTCTGAGGACCTCCCAAACATGAGTCGCGGACGAAAACTGAAGATCCAAACCTCACTGATGTGGACCGACACTCGAGGTCCAGGTCAGATACCCGACATACTGGAGGCAGCTCTTCGAGAAATTGAAACTTCCCTTCACACTGCTGATGAGCGAGGAACCGACACACCCTGACTGAGCAACTGCAGGAGTGACACGGCTTTACGTGCTGCTGCCTGCCCTTCATCAAGACAACTTCCAGGAATCGGGGTATGTGCATGTCACGAAACTGCATGATGATGATGAGGAGAACAGCCCGATGCCAGTCTCGCCATCCCTGGCCGTCGTACTCCTTAAGCTGCGCAGGTGCTGCCGACCGCCAGCAGTAGTAGCAGTCTCAATGGCAGCAGCAGCAGCAGCAGCAGCAGCAGCAATAGTAGTGGTAGCGGTAGTGGGGGAATAGTAGTGCCATGAAGCGGGCTGCTGCGACCAGCGCTCAACATTCTGCAGAGAATCTTGGCGGTGCAGCTAGCAGTCGCAGCAGTAGCCGTGGCAGCAGTCGTCGTAATAGTAGCAGTCGCAGCGGTAGTAGTGGTTTTTGTCACCCACTTGGCACGACGGAGTCAGCACCGCGGGGCTACAAATGTTGTGAGGCATACACAGAGTCGACGGTCATCATCAACGGCAAAGAATGGATCAAAAGCTTCCAGTAGTAGTGGTAGTAGTAGTAGTAGTAGTTGTTGTTGTTGTAGCAGCAGTAGTAGTAGTAGTAGTTGTTGTTGTTGTAGTTGTTGTTGTTGCCGTGGCAGTAGCAGTACAAGCGGTGTTGTAGTGTAGCGGAGCCGGAGCAGTGGTAGCAGTATAAGCAGTAGCCGTAATGGTAGAGGTAGTGGCAGTGGCGGTGGTAGCAGTAGTCGTCGTTGTCGTTGTCGTAGTAGTAGTAGTAGTAGTAGTAGGAGGCAGGAGTAGTAGCAGTCGCAGTTGAAGGTAGTCGTAGCCGTGGTAGTCGTCGTAGCACTAGCAGCAGCAGCAGCAGCAGTAGCAGGAGCAGCAGCAGAAGTAGCAGGAGCAGCAGGAGGAGCAGCAGCAGGAGCAGCAGCAGGAGCAGCAGCAGGAGCAGCAGCAGGAGCGAGCAGTCGTCGTCGTCGTCGTCGTGGCGGTGATGGTGGTGGTGGTGGTGGTGGTCGTCTTGGTGGTGGTGGTCTTGGTGGTGGTGGTTCTTGGTGGTGGTGGTCTTGGTGGTG